AAAGCCCCACATTTCCATGTACGTGATCCAATGCCTTATCACAGTGGCGTGTTTACCGTGATTTTGAAATGCAGTTTCCCGATAATTTTGTAGGAATTGGTTTGGTGGGTGGGTGCCCAATGGGTAAGTATACTAGATTTAGTGAGAAATTCTAGTACAAGACTAGCTTCATCCGAATATGATATTTAATAAGAATAATAACTTCAATAATAAGTATTATATTAAGTATATAGGGGGGGGGTAGGTCATTCAAACAATTTACCGATACAATAATTCACTTTGCACTTTGCCAGTGCCTTATCTCCTCCCTTAAACATTTCCTAATTAGTAAATAATCTGTTGCACTATATAGTAGGAGATTGTCATTTTGTTCTAATAATTCACAAATGGTATACCGATAATACAAATATACATAGGGGGCTTAGCCTCCCAATAATTTCTGTAGCTTCCCCAAAAGCTAATGATTTCACTACTATAATTTAAAAGACTTATAATAGATTATTTTAGATTTATAATTTATTATACTTTAATTTTCTCTTATATCATAAGAGTATCAAGTATAGACCTGAGCTACAGTCACCCTAATATCAAACACTACGCCTATGTAAATAGAAACACAGAACTTATATAATCAGTGACATATACCAACTTTTGTGTGGGGTGTGATGGAATCAGAAAAAAAATTAAACCTAGGTGCCTGCACATTAAAATGATAAATAACAAAATATACTTAGGTATAATATATAATTAGGTTATCTAGGTAATTATTATTATTAGGTGTCTATAAATATTTAAATTTAAGTACAAACTACAAACTTAGTATTATTAGGTATACTATTTCATAATAATATATTATTTTATTACATGTAAAATATTCTAAAAATAGTAATTTCGAACTTTGCAATAATAATTTTTTTTGTTATAACTTGTAGAATATATAAAGTTGAATGACGCCCCTGAATTAAACAATTATAGCTCACAATTTATTTTTTTTATTTTGTCCCTCCCCCCTATATACATCCCTGTGTATAATGATGTCTAATGTAAATGTAAGTCTGATAATTGAATACAAACCTAATATTCAGATATTCTATCGGTTGAATGCCTCGAAAGAAGTTTCACTTCATCCACGCCTACTCTCAATAAGCAAATAGTTTTTGTTGTACTCACCTAATTCATTAATAAATAACCGGAAACTTGAATTTTTCACCAAGTATATTATATTATTATTATCGTATGATAACCAAATATATAATAATAATATACAGTGTGCTTTATGATAAAGGTAACCCAACATATTTCAAATGCATCACCGAATTCCATTCTTGTTTTTTTTACTGCATAATTGACTTAAGAGGACGTCGCACCCGCGTGTGTTGTCTCCGTCTTATACACACGACGACATACCAAATTTTTGATCGCCAGTTTCAATAGCATGTTGTTAGTTTTGATATTGGAGTGAATTGACTTAGTATCAAACTTTTAGGTAACAACAGTATCTATATTCTCTCTTTAGTTTTTTACGATATTTTAATTTTTAAGCGAATTATGTGAATTTTTAAATATCAATGTTTTACATACTCATAACTCACTCAACATTTAAAATATCGTAAAATCCAACGAGAGAACCTCTGAGAGAACATTGATAAGTTTGTTGTTTAAAAATTGATTGTTTATATGTCAATTCACTCTAATGTCAAAACTGACAGCGTGCCTATTGTAACTTGCTATGTCGTGTGTGTGTTAGACTAAGACAGACGTCATTTGAGTGATACGTCCTCTTAAAATTACATTTTTGTTTTAAATAAATGCCCTTGTATAAGTAGCAAAACAAAATTATTTTGAATTGAACCAATTTTTTGTTAATTTGAATTTGAGTTAAATTGATTTTTTTCAAACCACTTATTTTGACGTTTTATTTTTCCATCTTAAAAGTTGACTTATTGAGAGTGAGTTAAAGTTTCGATCAATTTATGAATATATATTTATCATATTTTTTAATAGTCTCATTTTCCATATTTCAATGTGATTTTGTATGATTTTGTATGCAATAAAAAAAAAAACAATAAAATACAGGGTCAAGCGTTCTCGACTTCTCGTGTTTTTATTTTTTTTTTTATTTAAGATACCGATACAAAATTATTACAGCTCAACAATTATATATATAATATATATAGTAAATATACATTAACAAATAACTCGCAATTAACAAACCTATAGATATAACAGGAGATAAAAAGAAACAATAAAATTAAAAACAATGAAAAATGAAAAACAAAACAAATCATTAACTTAATAAAATTTAAAGAACATATTATAATTAGTAGAGTAGCTGTAAATAACTGAAATCTAAAATAATAAAAAATGAAAAAAAAAGCAGTTGAATACATTTCATGCAACACAATCAATAAATTTAAGAATCCAGCTTTTTCGAAAAACTTCAATATCATAATAATAATGGATCTTGAAAAGGAATTGAGAATAATTGTTGGTTCTAATGACATAATATTGTTCTTATGTAAAATGCAAAGTAAATTTGATCCGGGAACTAGTGAGTGAAGGGCAATTGGCTAGAATGTGAGAGAAGTCGCAAACTGTTTCCTCTACATGACGTGTGCTCACAGGGGAGTTGCTTAAGTCAAGGTGAAAGGCATGCGGGAGAAGTAAATTGTGCCCAAATCAACTTCTTGTGTTACCTTTATGTTTTTTTTTTTTTTATGGTGTCACTATTATGACACTATTTATAATTTTTTTTGTTTAATGGCTTAGCCGCTGGTGATAAAATTAAGTACCTACGGGAGTACTTAATATACTACTTGACCTGTACCAGGAGTACAGATCAAAAATCACTCTGTAAACCCTCGATGTTAGTTTTTATAGATGATACATTTTTTGTTTTTTGTTAAAAAAGCTTGAAAATTTAATACAAGGTTCCTCATATGTGGTTCTTACAGCAATAAAAAATAAAAAATATATTATGGTCACAACTGTTGTAAGCGTTTTAACTACGAATCTATACCTCATTTTATTATTTTAATTTGTCAAATTTGAAAAGACGCGCCTACATTATTTTGTACAATTTTTAAATTATAATTTTACTCAGACTTGAAAAGTTATACAAGATTTTCATAATGGGTTTTTTTACTGTAATTACTAATTAGTATAGCGTAAAACCACAAATTTTTTTTTGAGCTATTGTAGTTATAATTTTACAATTTTGGATGTTCACACGTTATAAACTTATAAGATAATTACTATTACTATTAACTAAATTTTCCAAGGCTTTGCACCCGTTTAGCCCGTATAGCCATAACCCTTAAAAAACCCTTAAAAATTATCAAAACCTTAAACCCATATAACCCGATTGATTTTGATGACGTATAACCCGAAAAACCCAAAACCGAAATTAAATTCGGGTTTTAACCCATAACCCGTATAAAAAAAATATTACATTTTCAAGTGATATATGAATTTGTATGTATATTTCATGGAGAATTCAGTTTTTCATATTTGGGAACACTGGTTACACTTGACAAGTGGGATACAACTGATAAATTGTTTTGATTGTTTTGAACTGTGCTATTTTTAAATTTTTAATATAATATTATTATGTCCGTAAAATTTTATATTTATATTTTATTAAACCTAAAGTTTTATTGCAACCAATCTTCGTATATCCCTTATAACTTAAAAGTAGTTATAACTTATAATATTTTGATTATAAGGAATAATCAATAATTTATTAATGTATTTATAGTTTATTCAAAATTTTAATATTTGATTCAATAACTTATTTCATTTTATTTTATTACTATTTAATACTTTGTTGGTAAAACATTTAATATTTAATATTATAAAATATTAAATTATATTCAATTTAAATTAAAATTATATTACGTGTGTCACTACTGTATTAGACATTAGTACTGAAAAGTTGATTGTATAACCTTATACTTTGCTTAATCAAATTTAACACTTTACGCACAACAAAATTGATGTATTACTCGATTTTAAATAACCCATAACCCGAATAAATAAACTGGCTAAACAAAACCCATATTCTTTAAAATGAAGAAAACCTGAAACCACAACCTCTATTTTTATTTGAAGCACCCGAAACCATAACCCGAATAAATCATTTGGGTGCAAAGCCTTGAAATTTTCCATACTACACACTTTTAAGACTGATACAACAAATGCGGATGTAGCGATCTATTAATAATAGCTAGTAAATAGTAATATAGTTTAGTAGTAATAGGGTAACCTATTACTTATGTATATAAAATAATATAATAATTAGGTAGTAATTACAATACAGCATATGCGATTATTTTTAGCAAACATAAGTTCAACTTATATTATTACTAATTTAAATATAAGTATATAATATAATATCCTTAGCAATATAGGCTGACAGACCGTTCCTACTCAGAATCGTTTTTTATTGAATAAAACTATATCATTGAATTAAAATTTGACATATCCATAACAGTAACTAACTCAATGATGACTGGTGACTGAGAGGTACACTACTTTATAGTAGAAAAACTTCCGAGTTATTTTTAAATATTATGTTATTAAAAATACTTATCTTATTTTCAATTAATTTTAATTCGACAAGTTAATGCTTTTTTAGCTCTAAAACGCTCACCTTATATTTACCTTTATTGCTTACCATTTTTAAAATTGACAAATGTAGTAGTATATTATGTAAAGAATAGGTTATTTCCTGTTAATTTTACGTGTATAATACTTACCAGTAGTCGAAATGACAACATTTTTCTTGCAATAAAATCTTGTGTTATATCATGAAAGTTATTTAACAATATTTAAGAGAAATGTAGTTAAGGTAGAAAATCGTACAATAAACATGCTAAAAATAATTATTATTTGTCAAATCAATGAATAGTACGCGTTTTAGGGTTGAATATGATGACGTAATTCAACTTTTAAATATTTATAAAGATAATTTTCATATGATTTGCAGAGGAGATAACATTATGGGTAGTCCACAGAGAACATGGGAACATAGTGAAGACATTATGGAAGTAGATAATTTATTTAGAGCTTTTTTAGGAAGAGATGATATAGATATTTTAAATGGTGAGAATAGATTATATTTTAATGCTATATGTTTTATATTTTAATTATTGTAACTCTTACCATTGTGGTATAGATGTGCCAGATATAATGGCTGCAGGTCTAAGAATTACTTCACGAATGTTTCCTCTACAACAACCGTTAGAATCAGTACCACCAGCGAATCCAATTATTCCAAATCCATATATGCACCATATTCCAATGGAAGAAATAGATGCAGAAGAACCTATTGGTGATATTAATGATGCAGTTGAAGAATATGAAGTTGATGATGATGAACATTATGCAGATGAAGTAGGTGATGCAGGTGAAGTAGGTGATGCAGATGAAGTAGGTGATGCAGATGAAGTAGATGATGCAGATGATGCAGATGAAGTAGATGATGCAGATGAAGTAGATGATGAAGCAAGTGTATGTGTTATATTCAATATTTGTTATACATAATATAATGAAAAATTAATTATATTAAAATATGTAGTTTTATATTTACATACTCTGGCTAGTAGCTATTAAAATGTCTTTGATTTTATTTTAAAAAATTTATAGATATGAAATACATTTTTGTTTTCAGATATTAATAAATTTTTTATTTTTTTAAATTTTATTCAAAGAATCAACAGTTTTTATATTTTTTTTCAGCATGAATCTCAATTATTAGTATAATTTTTTGATAGTTAATCATCATAACAAATCATTTATTTTTATTCAGGACCAAGATTCAATCGGTATTGAATATCGATCATCTGTTCCACGAAGAATGTCAGAGTCTTCAAATGATTATTATGACGAAAATACAGGTTATCCTATAAACCTTCCAGTAGGATCTCCAGTAGGATTTCCTATAGAATCTCCAATGGATTCTCTAGCAACATCTCCAGAATCATCTCTTGAATCTTCTCCGGTGGGATCTCGTGCTACATCTCCAGTAAGATGTCCACCAACAACTTCAGCTTCACATTTAAAACGAAATTTTGAAAATCTTGAAAACGGTAAAATACATACGGTATTTTAAAAATTGTTCTTCTAATTAAATATTATGCTATTAAATAATCAATACAGGATCATATACATATATTTATTTTTATTTCATTTAATTCATAGACAATTCGAAGACAGAAGATGAAGCTTTTTCCTGTTCAATATGTTTAGATACTTTGACTAATACTGGTATGCATAAACCGGCTTGTTTGAAATGTGGTCATATTTTCGGAGAGAGTTGCTTACAGAGATGGATTAAGGTTAATGGTTCAGCAATGATTTTTTATGTACACATGTTTATATATTTTATATTCTCGTATATTAGACTGGATGTAATAGGGATGCAAAAAGATGTCCAACATGTAACAGAAGAGCAAATATAAAAGATATTAGAGTTTTATATGCAAAAAATCTAGTAGCTGTGGATACAGCTGAAGTAACTGCACTTGAGCTTAAAGTGGAAAAAGTATGAATAATTAATGAAATATAGTTATCACAGTTACAACAATAATTTAACTTGATTTGATTGATTTGATTATTAAATCATTTTATTTGTATGTTAACTATTTTACTTCTTTTATTTCTACTTAGGAAAATCGAGAGAAAAATTTAATGCATTTGGAAGCAGAAAAGTGGAAAGTCAAAGCTACATATTTAGATAACGAAGTGAAAAGATTAAAAACTATGGTGGATATAGATCTATTAAATAAACAGGCAGCTGGTCCTACTTCATTACGGCAATGTATAAAAAAAATTAGTATGGGCAAGAACGTGGGCTGTAGGGTTATGGCATACAATAAACATACTATGATGTTGGTAAGTGTTAGTTAGAGACTAGAGTTGATTGAATTTTTTTTTAAATGATTATTTAATTGAATTATTACCAGGTGGTGTCACAGCATTCTGAATCGCAATTATTCAGTAATTCGCATGTGATCAGAAAATTGAACGGATCAATACTGGAAGCTTCTAAAGAATGTATTTTTGCACACAAAAAGCAAATTCGTGATATGGCGTTCCATCCTCTTGAACATAATATTTTGGCTTCTGTCAGTTTGGATAAATGCATCAATCTAACGGATGTAAATTGCAACCAGGTTGTTTCTACTATAAATGGTAATTATATTATACAAATTATTAACTATAATGTATATAGTATTATTAACTATTTGTCACAATATAATTGTCTACTAATTATGTTTAAATTTACAGTTAATGAACCGTTGTGGTCATGTTGTTGGGTTGGTGACAACACCAACGTGTTGGTTGCTGGTGGCCAAATGGGATCCTTATACTATATCGACCGCAGATATATGAAATTGTTCAATGCTGATCAGTCTCGAAAACTTGGTTGTGTTTCTCTCATCCCTATCTCACCATCAAAATCTCGGGCGTTCATTCATGGTGGGTTCATGAAGACCAGAATGGACATTTTGTCTATGTTTGAGCTAGTACCGGGAAAAGAAATGCATTGCTACAAAGAGACTGAATTGCCATTGAGAGGGCTCTGGACTAATACTTCTTATGACTACAATTCTAATCTCATTCTGTCATCTGCCAAACCTGCTGGTCTCAACAAATCTATCAGACATATTGTGTCTAAAATAGCAGATTACGATGCAGAAGGACCTGTGATAACTCCAGTTGTCACTTTTTATGGTTAGTCTCGACAATATTTTTCAAGTATTATTGGACCTCTTTATCCTTCGTAATAATTGTTTAAAATGTGTTTCTCTTATATATTTTTGAATATGGTTCTAATACAGGTGGAGATAAGGCTACACATTTGTCCCGCTCATGTTTGGTGCCAACCACCGGTGCATCATACGAAGACACACTAGCGTGTAGTTATGATGAAAAGTCAAAATCCGTTAAAATATTCAATGTCAACCAGAACACCAATATTCACAATTTCCATGTTCAAGATGACGTATTTTTGGATTTATGTCCATTAACCGGTATGATGAATAGCGGTAGACGAATATTGGCTGGTTTGTCAGAAAATGCTGTTAGTTTGTTCACTGTTTAGAAAAAAAAAAAACAAAGATCAAATATTTTGTTTTTGTTTGTGTGTGCATTTATTACTTATACATTTAAACTAAACATTTTTCCATGAACAAAATAATTGTAATGCATTTTATGCATATTCATTTGATTAAACATTGTGCTATCCTATATTGATATATTTTAAACTTAGTTACTTAGTAAGTCTGATGTCTATTGGCATACAATATTATGTTTTCTTTTATAAATATTTTATTGTTATGATTCATTTGCCGTTTAATTTTAATTATATAATTTACATTACATTTTCAAAGTTACTTTACATGCATAGTCTTATGAATTTATGGTTGACAAAAAATAAAATAGAAATGTAATATAATGTAAAAATATTATCAAATCTTGATAATAATATCACTAGGGTATGGATTTTACAGCACTTAAAAGCTATAGAAATAAATTTCTACAAACCCGTCAATAATATACTATTTTATTCATTATTCACTCATTTATAAATTGTCAAAAAACAATGTATGATAATAATTGGGATTTTTATTTACACAAAGCTGCTGGATTTCAATTTTAATAAAAAATGTAAAAGTAAATAAATTAGTATGTAAATTAACTTAATGGTGTTTAAAAAGAGGGTAACAAAAAAATTCATGATCCCAAAACACTAAATAAAATTGTTAACATTCGTTCCATGTTACATAATCACATTTAAAACAGACAAAACTTAGTTTTGATCCAGTAAAAAAAAGTAAACCCATCAAAATCCATACTCTAAACTTAAATATTTGTGTGTAATATTATACTTATATCATTTTAAGATTAAATAACTTTTACGATTTCATAATGTTGTTACGGGACCACTAATTCATAGAAGTTGTACGTCTAACCATCTACCTATCAACTAATGGACAGCGCATGGAGAGACAAATCACCAAACTGGATTGTTGATAGAGAAAGAGAGGTTTTGGGCCGCTAGAGTGTGCCAAAACATGTTTTTTCTCTCTCATATGTTATGTCTGGATTAACTAAGAGCCGGGCGGTGTGGAAAGCGTTGTCCATTAGATTATAGGTCTATGGTGTATTTACTAACATGATTAATGAATGGCATCCCAGGGTTATTACCAAAAGAGCAACAACTGTAAAATAATTTGAAATCAATTTATTATAATAATATACTTAAATTATATCATATGAATGACTTATCTATCTATCCAATACAATGAATAGTGTTTGTCATCGACGTCGCGAACTGTGTTTGATCTACAAATGCATTTCACGAAAAAAACATTCTTTCCCATGAGAGCATATTGGCTAAATTCCACGACCAATTGTCTAAGAAAAGTGGAACAGAAACACCACTTTTGAGGGAGTCCACACACCGAATTACAGCATTATCATGTGTACCACAGCCGATGAATCCTGAGCACCTTCACCCACCACACACTACTAGTACAAATCCATTAAATTAAATTGTGTTAATTTTGAAAAACTACCATTTTACTGTTGGAAATGATCTTAATTTAATTACTAAACGCTTTACCGTCTGGATCACTGGCAGAGCCACAAACAACGATATACTCACACGATACAATATAATATTATCATGTATTGATTTGTGTATTGGTCACAAACAAATATGATAATAATAAGTTTATTTATTCGTTTCATGGAACGATTACAATATTAAGATATTATATCTTAGTTTGTGGCGCCGAAATGTTAAAAATATACTAATATAACATCGTACATCAAGTAGAACCCATCGCCCCCCTTTTTTAAATTTAATCAGATCTGATCAAAGCACCTACATAATGCATTGCGTAGTAATTTATTTTTACGTTTTAAACAGTGCCCTCCATCCCCCATCTAAAAATTTACTATTAAATTTACATATTATGTCATAGATAAATATATTAGGTGATCAGCACCACTGGGTATCAATTACTACCCACACAAACCTAGTGTAGTATGAGTAACGCAACACAAATCTCAAGCGTACCCTTTGCAACCCCACTTCTTCACCTCTAATCAAAACTTAACATTTTATAACACGTTAACCGCCATATGCCCGCCGGCGGTCACACGATTATGCATCATCTGTACGCCAATTATATTTTCCAAATTTTTTTAAAAATATATTTTTTACATCGAAAAATTTGTTATGATTCGTGCTTTGCCACAGCGCTTTTTTGGTGCATTATTGTAGTGCCATGGAAAAGTTAATAATATAAAACCATATTAATTTACGGCCGCCGTCGGGCATATGGCAGTTTACGTGTTACAAAAAAAAATGCATGACCTCCGATTCTTTTAATAAAAATTAAAAATAATATGCGGTTTTTATTTTGAGACTAAAAAAACAGGCAGACTTCAATAATTATGGGTTCACCAGCAAAATAAAATTCAATAGCATTTAATGTTAGAAACTTAGAATTGCATGTTATGATTTAAATTATGAAAATTTAATATTTTTACCACAGATAATACCTCAAGTTGGTTCATACTATACTTTGAAATATAGAACAAAAACTTACGAAAAACTATCTATCGCTGTAGCACACAAAACAATTTGTGTAAATGTGCTTAGTTCATATTAATTAGCCAACAGCCATCAATGGAATCCACTTTTTAATTTTTTTTTTTTTTTATGGATACTTTTCAGTATGCACATCAGGGCACAATAAAGGAAATCCATAAATAATTACGAAAACAAATACAAGTAATATTATACGAGTATATTTTAAAATTTTGTAATAATTAAGTAACAACTTATTTGAGGGATTGATATGTATGTGTTAACCTTAACCATGTTTTGCATTAATTCAAATTAAATAAATCATAAAAATAATTATACAATAATTTAACAATCAAACAAAATATACATTTTACGGATAAAAAAAAAAAATACTAAACAAAAATAACTGAAGTATATATAAAAAAGTATATGTGTATAAAAATTGCAATATAATATTTACAACAAAATATTTCAGTCAGTCTAACTCCAACTCTAACGAAAATAAAACAAAAGTTTAGACCTAGCTATTAGAATGGAATAAATAGTCACATTAAATAAAAGTCTTAAGTGACCATATTTTTTTTATGTTTATGGCCAAACTAAGTACGCAATTTTCGGGGTCACAATCCCCATGATTACACTCGATATCAAGTTGACACTGTGATTATCCAATATTCTTCTCCCAGATATGTGCACAACATCTTTGCCAGGGTGTTCCACTATTGCTCCTGTTTTTCGATTAAAACCTGAATAAAATAAAAATTTAGTACACAAGCAAGTTATTAATCAAAGTTGCAGGCCTCACTATCCGAATAGTTTCAAGACAAAATTAATATATGTGGATACAAAATACTTCACAGTTTAATATGTATTAATATTTCTCGATTAAAGAATTATTAAGAGTACCTAGGCTTCAAAGTGAGTTCATAATTGTATAGAGTACCTATGATTATATAATTGTACATGGTTGTTCACATTGATTCACCTGTTGCTTAGCATATGGCCTAGGAGACAGCGATCGCCAACTTTTTGGACCTCACACACCACTTAATACGTAATTCCAAATTTCAAATAAAATAATAAGAAAATTATTCTAATTTACTGTTTATCAAACTGAATACTTATACACAGCGTTATAACACAATGCACTTAGCCACAAACATTTTCTCACGGATCACTGATTGGCGATTGTTGTCATAAGACATTAAAGCACATGATCATACACAACTTGACCTACTTATTTCGGCTAAAAAATTGACGGAGTAAATTACAATGGATATGTTAGAGCAATAATGGGATGAATAAATTTGACTATCATCAGATGTTGTTTGTGTAGCAAAGGAAAGTCATATAAAACATTTATAAGCACATACTACAAACTAAATTTTAAATTTTTTTTTTATTTAATGTATCAATTATTACTTTTAACATAAAGGTTTAAAATATTTGACCATATGAAACCAGACAAAGTTGTTAAATTTATACTCAACAGATCACTTTTAGCTCTGTTAGTTTAAAAATTAATGTGAATTGACTTCTTATAAATTTATAGGTAAGATTATTATCATATATAGGTATAATTATCTAGGGCACCTTATTTGCTTTTCAAGTTCCGGTGCCTAGAAATAAGTAAGAAAATACTAAAAAATGTGTCACTACAGTTATATAATAGTAATGTTGGATAACTATTTCAGTTAAATATGTCTTCTTGAATCTACAGGATATTAAATCAAAAATCATTAAACATAATAGAAACAAAAAATATAATTACCACTGTATTGTAAGGTGGCACCTAATACTGAATCAACAATGCTGCCAACTAGCCCGGCAAAACCTCCCGCTACTATTATTGGCCACTGTGCAGGACTTCTGGCCAACATGTCCGCGTCAATTGTATGGATAAGCATTGCATAATTTGCTAATCCGACAGCCACGCCACCCAATAGACTGACAAACAATCCAATGACCGATACACCACCATTTGTACCTGGGCAATAAATTCTACAATTAATAATACTTACATTTTTTCAAATACTTATCAGTTTAAGATAATACAAGTAATATATTTTGTATAGAAAAATTAATAGCTCTAAAAAATTACCTTTGGGAACTGGTTTACCAGTTGTTATCAATAAGGGTAAGCCTGTGTCCAAGACTGTTGCTAATTCTGAGGCCCAAGTGTCACCGTTACAACTGGAAAAAGCACCTAAAGAAAACATACAAACTCAACTTATAATTTCGAATTTATTGGTGTAATTCCATTAAATTTTGGCAAACTTTTATTTCTCCAATAATCATTAAGCCAAATTAAGTCATAATTAAATCCAATAGCTTTGCTCACGTGTATTAGGTATATTTTTATGAATTTCAGAATAAAAATCCCTGGAAAAAACTCCCAACGTTCAACCCTGGAAAAAAAAACTCCACAATACAATATTACTCACAGCCATACGATTGAACAAATTGAACAACACTAATTTTAGTAGTGTAATTACCACATATCTACATTAATTTAATTACAATAATATATACTTATCATTAAAAAAATTAATATACAATAAATAATTTTCAGACATTAACAATAATATTTTGTTTTTATCACAATTTGAAACAGGATAATATGTTAATGGTTCTTTTAAATACTAGGTATTAACTAAAGTTTGATAATTATTTAATTTTATAATCTTTTATATATTATATCTATAAAGTAAAAATTGTAAAAACACCTCATAAAAATTATATTTACATAACTGTCAAAATATTAGAGTTTAATGTTTCTATAATTACTTGACCATTAAATGTTTTGAATGATATAAGTATATATTTGTAATTAAATATTAATAATGTATTACTATTTAGCGTTTGAAAATATTAGTTCAATTATTTCCATGTAGTTGTGCGTAATATTGTAATCTGGGGATTTTCTTCTGAGGTTGAGGGTCAGGGGTTTTTTTCTGGAGATTTTTATTCCGATTACCCATTTTATAGTTGATAATAATATAACACATACAAATATCGAAATCTGTATGTCTGTACATACTTAGCAGGTACATTATACATATAAATAAACCATAGCACGCTACTCGATATTTTTTCTCTACAAGGAAAATCTATGATAAGTAACTGTGACAACAAAAATGTTTATTTTGCAAAAATCGATTAGAAAAATAAAATTTCTGTTCACAGTACATAAACATATTTATATGAAATGAAAATGTTATTTTAGTAAATTTAGTCTATAATCTATGATATGACACAGCTATCGGCTATAATGAATTAGTGATAACAAAATTATTATATAACATTATTTTATTATTTGTTTAATTATAACCGAGGCATAAAAAAAATTTGACAAATCAATGAAATAGTACTGTATTTGAATAGGTATAAAATTCATCTACTTTCAGGTGCAACCATATCTTTACACCAGCTACATGTATCCCTTGTAATTATGCCACTGTTTTTGATAAGTGAACCAATAGCTTTAGAAGAATCAAGTCTTACCAAGAATGCCAATGGATAACCAAGAAGGCCGATAATAACGTTTGAAATCAATAGGTAGTTCACCACATCCGACATCTAAAATGTACAAGAGCGCAAGTTGAGTAGCCATACCTCCATTACACAACACCTGTATCCAGTTTCTTTGACCACCTAAATTAATTTAAAATATGTATTAATCACAATAAACATTATCAAATACCTTACCTTCTTTAAAGTCAGGTTCCAATTGTTTTTTAGTTTTGCTCCGAAATTTTGTCGCTCTGGAAGATGTAACGAAAAATGTTAGCAAACAAGCCAGAAATCCATAGCTGCTTAATGTCAATACAAAACCAACAACTGCACCTGAATAATAACAAAATAAAAATCATGTTGGTTCTATATTTATGGGTTAAAAGTTTAGACTAACGATTCTCAATTTTCTTAAGGCCGAGGCCCCTAAGATTTTTGACAACTTTTGTTATCATTACTACCTATATGAAATACATGCTGTTTTATGTATTGCCAACCATAAAAAAAATATTGGCGATCCCCCAAGTTGAGAATCGTTAGTTTTGACTGTAATTATAGAGTACTTGACAAAAATACTAACCTAATAGTGCTCCACTTAGGTTTAAACTACGTTTGGTGTAACCCCATACAGCAATAAATAGTGGAATGAAAGTGGATATAAACCACCGGAGAGGTGGAAGTCCTTCTAAAAATTGAATAAATATTTAAATAGCAAAATACAATAAATTGAAATAGAAAAAAAAATTTCTTAATATTATGATTTTATAAATTAGTTAGAATTCTAGTACCTATTCTGTTCAAATATTTACTTAAAAAGTTAAAAAATAACATGAAATATTTCAATAAAATAATTATCTCTAGAACTTTGGTTAAAATTGTTAAATTGTTATGCTATTAAGTTAAAGACTTTTACCATCTAGTTCATTTACATTATCGCCATAAAATTTTCGGAACAAAATATTGCTAATCCATAAGACCATTGACAATGGAATAGAAATCATAGTTAACGCAACTGATATGGTTGGCTTTGAAACATTCATTTCTTCAGAATCATTTTTATTTTTGGCCATGTTGACGAAAGTGAAAAATTTTTCTTGTATACTAAAATAGAAAACACTATAATTAATACAATGTCAAAGAAATTAAATTTCCTCTTCAGAATCTAATACAGAAACAACTACATAATCAACACTAATAACACCATGCTCACAACAATATTATTATGTAACATGAAAATTAATAGTTTGTAGATTGATTGTATAGTTGAGTTCAATTAATTTATTAAATAATCATTAACAACTAAGATAAAGTTAATATAGAATGATAGCTATAGTATTATTATTGTTCAGTTTTTAATTATCTTTGCATAAAAACCCACTTTTAGAAATAGTTTAGTTGCTATATGTTTACAATTATTGTTATAGCCAAAATATAAATTATTTACATACAACAGTTATAACTTATGAAGTACCATAGTTATCTTTATTTTGGGGGGAAAGGAGTGGGAGATGCTAATGGATACTTAAAATATACAATGGTAAATGTACTTTTTCACCAAGTGGCTCCGAATACTACTTCAGGTAGTTCAATTGAACTACCTTAGAAATTGGGTGGGTGGGTGTAGGGTGGTAAAATGGTAGAGAATACTTTCCAAGTCTTTCTTCTATAATTTTAAGATACACAGGAATGTCATTAAATTATTCATATATAATTAGTTAAGATCGTTTCGCAGTTGTTTAAAGGGGTGGCTGGGTCAATCACTTTTTGAACTGCCAGGTGCCAGTTTTAATTTCAACCGGGGCCACTGTTTTCACCTATTGTTTTTATACAATATGAGAGGTATCTACAATATAAATTAAATTAGAACATTCCCACCTATTTTTCCTATTTTTTTTTTAAATTTCTTACGAACTACAAAGACTGGTTTGTTTAGTGCATAGGTAGTTATTCTAATATATTTAGGGTAACTTTTAAGTCAACTATTTTTCTAAACAATATACCTATGTATCATGTAAAAAACCAACATACGCGCATAAAAATACTGTCAAATCATAGGACTTAAATACAACTAATTATTTTTCATAATACTTAAAATTGTATTCAACTATCATTATACAAAATTACATATTACAAAATATCGTTATAGAAGGATTAACATTTGTTTTTCTAATGGTTTATAAATAGATTATTAATTATTTAATTATGTATGGTCATAACAAAAATAGCTAGGTAGTTTTAAGTATGTAACAGCCAATCAGAATTGATAAATTTATAATTGAAGTTAATAGGTAGTGTTGGTCAATTATCCCAATACATAATGAATGCCATTGATTTAAAGTTAGTAGGTGCCTATAGTATGTAAGAATGGCAGACATTTCCCACCGGCTGTTTTCTATGTAGTAGGACATTTCCCCCCAGTTTTTTTTTGTTTTTTTATTTTTAATTATGTACCTTCGAATATAAAATTATTATTTTTAACACATTTTTTAGCTTTTGTTTATATTTATTTTTTTATTTTTGTAAAAATTGTACGTTAATTGAAAAATCTTTAATCTTAATTTCAATAAAAAAAAAAAAAAATATTTACAACAAGTTAAGTAAAAATTTAGTTTTAAATAGTATAGTGTACTAATATTGAATTAGATGGGTAACATTGAAATCTAAAATTGTGTCCAAAACCCAGTCAATTACTAAGACTATTAACATAACATTCTTATACAATCTTACATCGTCATGAGCATTGAGTCAATATTTTAAAGACTTCTATGTTTTTAAAGACTATATGTATACAAAACAAAAAAATCATTGATAACAAAATTAGATGGGTGTGAAAAAAAAAAAGAAAAATTGTAAAGGTAGTGTAACAACTCCTTCCAGACTTTTCGCAATAGAAACGTCAAATTTATTAAATGAATTCATTATAATTTGTTTATACCATCTTTTTTATTTTTATGTCCGATTTTTTGGCCAGCTGTATTGTACTATATTATATTATTTAGACAATCTTTTATTTAAAATTATATTTTTACTTAACTAATTGTAATTATTATTTATAATTTTTTTATTGAAATTAAGATTAAAGATTTTTTAGTTAATGTACAGTTTTTACAAAAATGAAAAAAAATAAATATGAACAAAAACTAAAAAATATGTGTTAAAAATAATAATTTTATATTCGAAGGTAAATAATTAAAAATAAAAAAAAAACCAAAAAAAACGGGGGGGAAATGTCCTACTATGCCAAAAACAGTCGGGGAGAAAATGCCTGGATACCAGTAAGTATACAATATTAAAAACAAGTAGAATAAAAATTACAGGTAAATCCACCATGAGACATTATTTAAGTAATTATACAGAAAGTATTATAACATGAATTGTGAATACTTTTTACCGACTTTTTACTAAGTTACTGACATTAGGTACATTTTAAAAGAAAAACATTACATTTTTTGATATGTTTTCGCACGAGTCATGTTTAAACACTTAAAGTTCTTCGGCTTCTTCTCCACAATTTGCAACAATAAAACGTTAAAACTATTATAGGTAGGTAGTAGAAAACTATATTATAATATGATTTTTTACAGGCGGGCAGTGAGTTGTTGTAGTCACCTGATCAGCAAAAAATGAACGGACAAAGTCGACGTGTGTAATAGATGATAGGGCAATGTGGTTATTAAATTTGAATATACAACCGTAGCTCAGACGAGTTAATCATAACGATTGGAAATCACTATTAAAATTGAAAACTGTTTAAAAGTCGTGAACCGTGACATGAATACATGATGATTGTTATTATTTATTACTACAAAGTACAAATTATATTATAGAAGCGATTAAATAAATTTAAACTTTGAACGCACATGATCGGCCCGGCGGCTCGTCGTAATCAAACCTGACAGTTGTAATGTTGTAACTTGTAGACTAGGTAATCGCACAACCGCACAATTTATAGGTGTAAAGAATTTATGATTTATCGGTGACGGACGGACAGCCGACCTAAGCGGGCTGCTCTATCAGCAATCAGCCAGCAGCAGCTAAATACGTCATAATAATATTTAATATTATTATTTATTATTTTTTGATAATCAACGGAGCCGTTATCGCGTTATCGGCGTCTTGACTTTAAACAGCTGCTGTCGAGATAACACTGTTTATTTTCGTATTGCCAAATTTGGAGTGTTTGTCCGCGTAGTCGTAGCCGTAGTAAATAAGCAATACAGCATTACACATTTACACTCCCAGTGCGTAGGATTTCCAACATCCGCCTGGCCATTCGCACCGATCTAGGCCAATTTCCTGGTGCGATTCCCGTCCGCTTGTCCGGTGGTTTCGTTGACATACGCGATGGAAGACATATTCCAGTGGTGCCGGGAAGGCATCGCCATGCAAGTGCGAGTCTGGCTCGATGACACAGAACACGACATGAACCAGGGGTGAGTTAAATGTTGTACACATGCCGCCACGGTGAGGTGGGCGGAATGTTTTCGTCGCCAGACGTTTTCACCCTTAGATTTTTGTTGTACGTTTCCAGGGATGACCACGGATTCAGTCCGTTGCACTGGGCCGCCAAAGAGGGCCATCTGAAGATTGTTGAGATGCTGGTGCAGAGGGGCGCCCGCATAAATTCTACGAACCGAGGCGATGACACACCTCTGCACTTGGCCGCGGCTCACGGTCACCACGAAATCGTTCATCTGGTGTGTGTCTAGCATTTTTGTTACCTCTCCACATTTCTATGTTTGGTATTAAAATGATGTACAATAGCTAACGTTGTGTTTCCTTGTATTGTAGTTGTTGAAAAACCGAGCAGACATCAATTTCACAAACGAACACGGTAACACTCCATTGCACTATGCTTGCTTCTGGGGTTATGAAGCAATAGCTGAAGAACTTATTGAAAACGGTGCATTGGCTGCTTTGGCCAACAAAGACGGAGACACTCCGTTAGACAAGGGAAGAGGACCAATTTTAAAACATTTAAAAGGTATGCTTACCTGATGGTAAAAGTATTTTTCTTTCTATTTTTTAACAATTTTAACCAATAACATTAAAGAGTAAAAATTAATTAATTACAGATTTGGCTTTGCAATCTGGACAAGATCTTACCAAAATCAATTTCAAAGATCAAAGCTGGTTAGGTTTGAAAACGAGAAGCAGTAAGTCAATTTATTATTACAATTCTTATGTAGGTATAACTTATTTTTAGTGTCATAAATTTAAAATAAGTTACGTCTGGCACACTAGCAATTTTGCCAGCTAGGGCGATTACATTGAGCAATTTTACTTGCTGGAGTGTAAAAACACCAGCGATTAGCTACTAAAGTAGCCCGGTCGTCAACTTTAATCGCGGGTGAGCAGCGAGTATTCAACACGCGGCGAGTAAGCGACTAGACCGATTACATTGAGCAAGTTAATTTGCCAGCGATAAGCGAGTAAATTTGCTCAGTGTAATTGACGCTTTACCAATGATTTTATAATACAATAATAGAGCTATATTATAAAATTTATTCGGTGATCGTCTGTTACTTTTTAAATCTTCAAAGTTTCATTTATTTTATGTTGTCATTGTAAATTTACATAAATAATTTTTTTGATTTTTACTCTATTATTTTATAAATTGTTTAGGAGATGCTACATTATCACGGCATAAAGGAATAAACTTGAGTGATCTTTACTTGCATACAAAATTGGCTACTTCGCCCAGTGGAGAAACATGGCGTGGTCATTGGCAGAAGAATGATATTGTTGCCAAAGTGTTGGCAGTTCGACAATGTACTCCTCGAATTTCCAGGGATTTCAATGAAGAATTCCCAAAACTCAGGTAATAATTATTGAATTGATTGTTTATTTTCATGCAATTTTAATAACTTCATTATCCTTTTGACTGTAGAATATTCTCGCACCCTAATGTGTTGCCAGTGATAGGATGTTGCAACTCCCCTCCCAACTTGGTGGTTATTAGTCAGTATATGCCTTGGGGCTCACTCCATACTTTATTGCATGAAGGAGCCAGAGTTACAGTGGACACAGCCTTAGCACTTAGACTCGCAGTAGATGTTTCTAGGGCCATGGCGTTTTTGCATAGCCTGGAAAGGATTATACCACAATTTCATCTGAATAGTCATCATATCATGGTATATTTAATTTTAATATTTTTGTTTAATTAACTTTCATGTGCACTTATATTCATCCATAGATTGACGAGGACCTAACAGCTAGGATAAATATGGCAGATGCTAAATTTTCATTCCAAGAAAAGGCAAGAATATACTACCCCGGATGGATGTCTCCTGAGGGTAAATACTTGTATTTTATATTACTTTAGATTCTGAGTGAAACGATGAATGCATTGATTTTACAATGATGTGTGTTTATTTTTTTTATTTATTTTTTTTTATTTTTTAATTTTTTTTTGTGTCTGTCATCACGTTTTAGGACAGTAAAAGTGCTTGGATTTTCTTCAACAGTAGCTTTTCTGATAGGAAAGTGAATCTAGTTGGTACTTTGGGGGGTCAAATTTCTCAGTAGTTTTCACAAGCGCCGGGACAAACAACATAAAAATTAAGGAAAAACGGGAATTTTTACGCAAAATAGGTTTTCCAAAAAATCGATTTTGGTTATTGGTGTAACTCTAAAACAAATGAACGTATGTACATGCAATTTTCACTGGTTGTTTATATTTGCATTTTCTATACACGATAATATTTTCAAAATATTTTGATTTATTTTGAACTGTTTAGGGACATTTTCATTTTCCATCTTTTTTTAGTTTTTTTCTAAAAATATCAATAAAATTTTATTTGTTGGTTGCGAAAGCTTGAAAATTTAATAGAAGGCTCCTAATATATTGTTTCAAAGGCAGATGAAAAATATTAAAAATCCTTAGTCACAGTTTTTTTTTATAAGCATTTAAAGTTCAAAATTTGACAAAATATGGAAAAATCACGAAAAATAGCAAATTATTTTGAGTTAAGAATTCGTAAAAATTTTTCTTTTTAAATCTAAGATTTGAAAATATAATACAAGATTCCTTATAAGATTATCTACCTTTATCAAAAAAAAAAAAATGTCTATAAGAAAGTCAAATTGAATTTTTATGAGCGTTTGAAATTCAAATTTTTACAACATTGAATATTCACTCGATTTCTATGTAGCGATTTCCTTATTTTGTTGTAATATAAGCATTTAAAGATCGAATTTTGACAAAATTTATCAAAATCTCGAAAATTATCAATCATTGTAATTAATAAATTATAAAATGTTCAGTTTTTATAGCTAAGGATTGCAAATTTAAAACAAAGGTTCTCATAAATAGTTCATACTGTAACCAAAAAATCTAAAAAATATATGAACACAGTTATTTTTTACAGACATTTTAAATTCAAATTTGGACAAAATTACATATTAAAAAACCTAGAATAACTATTTTAGTTATTTTGTTGTGATTGAAAAATATTATTCGTGGGTACTTGAAACTTCTAAAGTGTACTATTATATATCTATGATAGTATCACGGTTTTGTTGATGTATAGCGCGTTATAAGTACTTAATGGATATTGTGATATGATTAATTTTGAATTTATTATAGGTACCTATTATAGGTCAAATTTTGGTTTAGTACCATAGATATGTATATAATATGTCTTATACCTAGACTGACATACCGTCTCCTCTCAGAATCTTTTTTCTTATACAATGATATTATATTGTTGAATTCAAATTTAATATCATCCATTATACAGTGACCCACTTGTAACCTACTGTACAGCAGAGCGACACCCACTTGCCCACCTTTTTTAAATTTATTTGTGACTTTTTTTTTTAAATGATTTGTCTGGTTTTAAATGGTTTGTTTTTATTGGAAATGTTTAGATACAGAAAATCGCTTCTCCTGAAAAATCAGTATTTTCGCAATAGTACTTTTTGGATTTCCACCCCTCAAATATAATGATAGTGTTGTAACAATTGTATAATTTTATTACTTGTTATTTTTAGCTTTACAGAAAAAGCGAATTGATACTAATTCAGAAGCATGTGACATGTGGAGTTTTGCGATTCTCCTATGGGAATTAGCTACAAGAGAAGTTCCATTTTCTCACTTGTCGCCAATGGAAATAGGGATGAAGGTATGATTTTTGTTATTTCTATATTAAAATATACTTAACTAAAACAGTTATATTTTTAGGTGGCTTTGGAGGGTTTAAGAGTGTCTATTCCATCTGATATTTCTCCACATCTCACCAAACTGATAAAAATATGTATGAATGAGGATCCAGGCAAGAGGCCAACTTTTGACATGGTGCTTCCAATTTTGGATAAAATGAAAAGATAATAATATAAAAATAACAAAATTCTTCAGTGCTATAGTGGAAGAAGAAATCTTAAAGAATAGGTCACTAACTTTTATACAAAAGTATTTATTTCAAAACCAATGTATTTCAAGTGGTTAAATATTTAATATAACAGAATAGATCACCAACTTTTACACAAAAGTATTTATTTCAAATCAAATGTATCTCAAGTGGTTACAAAATTTCTATTTAAATGATACACATATTTGTAACTTTGTTAAAATGTTTATAATTCTATTTTTATTATAAATTACTTTTTATAAGCAAAAAACAGTTGAAATCAAATATTTATATTTTATTTAAAAAAATGTAGATATTCCGATGTTAGAATTTTGCAGAATAATATATTTTAATACTTTTGGACTACTATAATATTCCAGCGTGAGCTTCCTGTATTATGCAGACTAATAAAGACTTTGCAGTTGACTATTTATTAACATTAGGTAATAACTAAGTAGTAATTAATTATTAAATGTATTATGTTTTTTATAATCAAACTAGTTACACCACTGTATTTCTGTTTCAAAATTGAACAGTTGTATTTTTTTCTCTTATTGATCTTCTACTGATACAATTTAAATACATTTGTTAATGCAGCTATAATATAATTTTGTGGACGGTCTGGTACATAATGTTCAATTTGTTCATATAATCTAATATACACCCTATGGACATAATAATTTTCTGTTTTAAACTAAATCTGTTCAGATTAGTTGTCTATTACAGATGCAGTATTATCAAAACTTTAATGGATTATTGCCCCAAGGTATAATCTTATTAAGCGTGGACGCGTGGTTATAAATTATAATATTATATATGCCCAACATGCTAATTATCACAGCTGTATCAGACAACATTTAATTAAAAGTTTATTATAATGTTTCATGTCAAAGTATCCTACTACAATTGCTGAAGTTTAGTGGAACTGAAATAGTTTCATTAAATCTACACGAAACATTTTGCTTGTCCAATAATATGATAACTATGGAGGGAAAAATCATCTATATATTACTCGGGTAGAATACATGTGGTGTAAATAGGAATTAATATGAGCTTACATTTTGTATACTTAACTTGTTTTTTACAATAACATATTCTGATTAATTTTAGTTTCGTTTAACTGTAACAATTTGTATTAGACTTAAACATATTGTATTTTAAAAATTAATATTTTTGTTGAATATGCATAATATATTATTTATAGCCGACGGCAGTTTTTGTCAATTATTGTTAATGTTATACCTTATGCTGTTATGCACAAATTAATTATTCCACGATGCTGAACACATCGCGTGCCTTATTATACAGTTTGTTAAAATAAATTATCGTACCTCTAATAATTGTAAAATAATAATAAAAAAAAAATGTAATGTATTACTAATCGAAATATCTATGTTGTTGATTTTGTTAGCCGACCTACCCATAATAGCGTTCCTGCAGTTTGATGCGAACGAACATACCATCAATATGCCCTCGGGAATAATATTATTGGAATTGTGTATTTGTGTGTTTAAATATTTGACGAGTGAAACACACATACACATGAATATTAAAATTTAAAATATTAAACACGCTAATCCGCTTTTACGGAGAGTCTCGTCAAATGGTAAAAACGTATTTTTCACTATTTCACATAGGTAGTACGTATTTTATGTTACGCAAGAGACACGCCATCGATATCAAATGCACACTAGAAAAAACGAAAACGAGCAGCTGGAAGACCTGCTCAGCCAATATTTTAGAACGGTACGTTTTGTTTTCGAATGTCTACTTAGTATCATGGTAGAATGGTAGGTATATGAATTGTTTACTGTTAAAGGTACCTAGGTACATTTTATAAACATATTGTTGTACCGTTCTTCTTACTCTAATCAACTGCGACTACAGTGACTAAAATATTTACTTCATAGGACAAGGAAATAACAAGAAATGAACCTAGGGCAGAGGCTCTCGTCCCAATTTTATAGGGCTAGCGAGTAAAATTTATAATTCGTATATAAATAGAAATTATAAGTTTAAAACCACAAACTAAGATGGTATGAATTGGAAACCTTTGACCAAAATATTGTAGATATTTTTTTAAATTAATATATCTAACTGTAACGAACTTAAATAAACTAAATTTGATAAGGCTATACCTGCCTATACATTTTTGCATGAAACAGAATAATGTACCTATCTACGTCCTACACTCAAATTGTGGCCCACGAAAAATTTAAGACTTAAGTATATTTGTTTTTTGGCCATTGACATGATAAAGGTAGCCGACCTTCATCTAGGGGCTGTCCATCTCTGGCCTCTGCCATAATTACGACCTTATTGTAGGTACCTATTATATTTATATATGTCTATAGAATATAGATGTAAAATGTGTTGATTATCAATCAGATAGATACTAAAAAGCATTCACTTGGTCCGTGTCTCAATTCAATTATATTTTTATAGACTGGTCACTGGTGCAATTGATAGGTAGTTTCAAGTATTAGGTGAGAGTGGTATGATTTATGATATGAATTGGAAAAATATATACATACAAAAATAAGAAATAATAAAATCTGTATGGATGAAGAAAAGTAAAATCGTAAAATAGTTTTTTTTTTCTGGGAGGATAAAATATGTTGAATATTGTAGGGTATTTTTGAAGAAGTCAAAGGGGGACGAGAGGTAGGCGCTTAGCGCGTTGTGTTAACAATTTAGGGTAGTCGAAGAGGATATGGGTGATGAGAGAGACGTTAAATGTGACCAAATCATGAGACAGGAAAAGTAGGATAATTTAACAATTAAAAAATGTAATTCATTAAAAATAGTATAAAACGTGTTTAACATAAATACGTTTTCGTCGGATTTTTATCAGTCGTGCCTACAACTTACCTATGATCTTCGGTTTTTTATACCCCCGAAAAGCGTTATGGAATAGGTCGGGGGATCGTAAAATATGTTGACTATGTAGTACATACGTACTTGACTGTATTTTACGAATAAACGTTGGATTCGCGAGTCGTGTCAGATAGGGATGAAGGGACCAAAATGTCGTGTCGAATTTCAGAAGCTATAATAATATATAGACCTATAGTATAACCTAAACCCTAAAGGTCCAAACGAGACGAACCTGCATTTTAACAAGTCTGCAGCAGAATTTAATTTTTTTTCGAGAGTTAACGACCTGTGACTAGATGGTCACTTGATCCGATTATCTTATCCGTTTGATCGAGTACAGCCGTACATGCACCAGCGGATATGGGCTTTAGTGGCTCATCGAATTGAATTTGTAATTTTTGAAATTGTAATTGGTATACTTATAATATTTGATGATATATTATTAAGTTATTTTGATATTTTAAACTGCGTGGGTTAACCATTGATTATAGGTACCTAGAAATTATCACGTATGGGACACCCTCATCGCTTGTAATAGGTTGTATTTTGTTATTGTAATATTATTATTATTATTGTTATTATTACAATTATTATTATTTGTATAGCTCCCTCAATAACACTAATTGTACAGGGGCCCAAAATCTGATCTCAGAGGTCCGCGTAGGTACATATTATTATTATCATTGATTACAAATAATAGTATTTATAATCAATGATATTATTATATAACTGATTTCAAATATCACCAGCGAGGCCGTTCTTATTAATTTCTCGTCGTCGCGATTTGAGCAAAGCTGATTGTTTAATGTAAATTTTATGCAAATTTACGGCCGATAGTTGATTTATCGAACGGTCTAGAGCAGTGGTTTTCAATTTGGGTATGCCATGCCGCGAGCATATAGACGTAACTAGTGCCATTTAATTGAGTGGGCTCAAGCCCATAGTTAAAATGTTTAACAGAGGGAAGGGGTTATGGGAGTATTACACCCTCATCCTTAATACACCAGAAAATATATTAAAATTATGAATACCAAAATTTTCAATAAAGAAATACAATTTAAAATGTCCACCAGCAAAGTACATTTATTATAAAATAGTATTTTTTTATTATAATTGCATTTTTCTATCTTTTTCTGCATATTGGTTAAGAACATCATCATATTTTTAATTGTAATTGATAATTCTTGCTCAATGTTAAGAAAACTTTAATTTGTAAACCTGTATTGTGCCATATTTGACCATTAAAATACAACAATACTTCACAATTAATTACTAAATTAAATGAGATGATAATACAATTCTTTAGAACAAGGAAAATACTGGCATATTTCTATTTATAAAATAATTTCACTTCAAATCACTGATAATAGTTGTATTCATAGACCTATAAACTAAGTTAGTTTATAGGTCTATGGTTGTATTACACATTTACACCTAAAACCCAGTGGCGGCTCGTGGTATGGTGCACAGGAGCACGTGAACCACCCAAAAAAATTATATTAAAAAATTATTATATGCCATAATAACATAATATAATTGATGATTATGCAAATGGTGTGTAATTAAAAAAAAATATAAATATTTATATTAATAAAAACAAGTTTTTGCAGCTTTTATGCTTTTAACGATTAAATAATATCGCGGAGCACAAGTTGTTTGTGCTCCGGGCGGCCGTATAAAAATTAGCTACATGCCTCGACACGCCGACCGGTAATACATGGCAATTTGGAGCACATTTAATGTGTGCACCGATCCTATTTTATTGTCGCGCTATCGCGATATCGTGTCATTCGTCGAAACGATAACGCATCATTGTACAGTATCTATCAACTGCCGCCAGTGTGCAGCACTGCAGCAGTCAAATCAACTAATAACTACTATAATATCCATAGACTTATTATAAATAAAATAAATAAATGAAATGTCTAATTTTAACGAAGAAGTTATTGAAGTGTTTATACAAAAAAAAGACAGACGTATAGATTTAGTTTTTAAAAATGTAACTGATTAATTTCATATAATAATAATTGTAATTTGTTGTAATTGTATAGCTCTAGCCTCTAATAATAAATTATAATTACAACGATATTGTGTATTTGTGTTT